TTAGTTTTTAATGATCAGAATGTAGTGGAAGCAATTGGGAAAGAGCTATTAATACCAGGGTGGGGTGTGAACACAACTGATTTTTGCTCTTGGGCTGGCATTAGTTGCAGCTCAAACAATTCAATGGTAGAAAGACTTGATCTTTCTGGTTTTAGATTACAAGGTAATGTGACTCTAATATCTGAGCTCAAAGCACTGAAATGGCTAGACCTTTCTCATAATAATTTCCAAGGTTCAATTCCATTATCATTTGGGAATTTGTCTATGCTTCAGTATCTTGATTTGTCTTTTAATAAGTTTGAAAACTCAATTCCTAGTGAATTAGGTAAGCTTAGAAACCTTAAGGCATTGAACATTTCAAACAATTGGCTCACTGGACTTGTACCTAATGAGCTTAAGGGGTTGGAAAATTTGCAAGATTTTCAAATATCTACCAATAGTTTAAATGGTTCTATTCCATTTTGGGTTGGTAATTTGACCAATCTTAAGGTTCTTGCAGCTTATGAGAATGAGTTTAGTGGTGATATTCCATTTAACTTAGGCGTAAACTCGGAGCTTTCTTTGTTGAACTTGCATTCAAATCAGCTTCAAGGTACTATTCCTGAGAGCATTTGTGCTAAAGGGAATCTTAAATTTCTGGTTTTGACTCAGAATAAGTTGAATGGAACTATTCCTGAGTCTATTGGGAATTGTAAAGGACTTTCAAGTATTAGGATTGGGAATAACAAGTTGATCGGTGGCGTCCCTAAAGCAATTGGGAATATCAGTAGTCTTACTTATTTTGAAGCAGATAGTAACAGTTTGTCTGGTGAAATTGTCTCAGAGTTTGCCAAATGCTCTAATCTTACACTGCTTAATTTAGCGTCGAATGAGTTTTATGGAACTATTCCTCCTGAGTTTGGTGAGCTCAACAATCTTCAAGAATTGATTGTTTCTGGTAATAACCTCTATGGTGAGATTCCAACTTCAGTTCTTAAGTGCAAGAATCTCAATAAGCTTGACTTGAGCAACAACAAGTTCAATGGCACGATACCAGCGGATATATGCAATACCTCAAGATTGCAATATTTGCTGTTGGGGGAGAACTTAATTAGAGGGGAGATACCTCATGAGATAGGGAACTGTGTAAAATTGCTTGAGTTGCAAATGGGGAATAATGAACTTATTGGAAGTATCCCTTCTGAGATTGGTCATATGAAGAACTTGCAGATTTCACTGAATTTGAGTCATAATCATCTCCATGGTCAATTGCCTCAGGATTTAGGAAAACTTGACAAGTTGGTTTCTTTGGATGTTTCTGATAATCAGCTATCCGGGAATATTCCAGCGGCGTTGAAGGGCATGCAGAGTTTGATAGAGGTTAATTTTTCAAGCAATCGATTCACTGGACCAATACCTACTTTTGCACCATTTCAGAAAAGTCCTAATTCAAGCTTTCTTGGAAACAAAGGGCTCTGTGGTGATCCCTTGAGTGGTGGTTGTGGAGATCTAAATGGTTATAACCACAGCATTTACGGTCACAAGGTTTCTTACCGAATCGTTTTGGCTGTTATTGGTTCTGGTTTGGCAGTTTTTGTATCTGTTACAGTGGTTGTTTTGCTGTTCATGATGAGGGAAAATCAAGAGAAAGCAGCTGCCAAGGAAGCTGGAATTACCATTGAGGAAACTTCTAGCAAACCAGTTATACTAGCGGGAAATGTCTTCGTTGACAATCTAAAGCAAGCAATTGATTTTGATGCAGTTGTAAAAGCAGTCATGAAAGACTCAAATAAGATTAGTGTTGGTACTTTCAGCACCGTCTATAGAGCAGACATGCCTTCCGGGATGATTTTGTCGGTTAAGAAACTAAAGTCTATGGACAGAACTATAATTCATCACCAGAGTAAGATGATCAGAGAGCTTGAAAAGCTTAGTAAGCTCGTTCATGATAACCTAGCCAGGCCTATCGGGTTTGGAATCTATGAAGACGCTGTTCTTCTGTTGCATCAATATTATGCAAACGGGACGTTGGCTCAATATCTTCATAACTCTAGCCAGGAACCTGAATATAAACCGGACTGGCCAACAAGACTTGCCATCGCCGTTGGAGTTGCAGAAGGATTGGCATTCCTCCATCATGTGGCCATCATCCATCTTGACATTTCTTCGGGGAACGTGCTTCTTGATTCTAATTTCAGGCCTTTGGTTAGTGAAGTTGAAATATCTAGGCTTCTGGATCCATCTAGAGGGACTGCAAGTATCAGTGCTGTTGCCGGCTCATTTGGATATATTCCCCCAGGTATTCTATTATTCAAACACATACTTATCGTTCTCTTTTTTTCGTTTATAGAGATTGTATATTTGGTATTGACTAGTTTTCTCTCTCTGAACAGAGTATGCATATACAATGCAAGTAACAGCTCCTGGAAACGTTTATAGTTATGGGGTTGTTTTGCTCGAGATCCTTACCACTCGATTACCTGTTGATGACGATTTTGGTGAAGGAATAGATTTGGTTAAATGGGTACATGGTGCACCTACGAGGGGGGAAACACCGGAACAGATACTCGATGCAAGGCTTAGCACCATTTCTTTTTCTTGGAGAAAGGAAATGTTAGCAGCGTTAAAGGTTGCGTTGCTGTGCACTGACGTGACACCAGCAAAACGACCAAAGATGAAGAAGGTGGTAGAAATGCTGCAAGAAATCACAGAAAGCTAAATGAAGTTTGCATCATCAATGTCTGTCTTGATTTCGTTCCTTCATATGAATGCTTCCGTGAAAATGCTAGTGTACGACATACTTAGTCGAGGGGACAAAATGGTCGAACTCTATATACTGGTCGGGGGCAGCTGTTTATTGTGTCTTACCATTTTGTACTGGGGCTTCAATCATATGATCAAGAGTTCTTTTTCTCCAAAACATGTAAATGTTGGTGAAACAGATCAACATCTTTCCTTTTCCTGTCCTCTTTTCTGGTAAATTGCTTCCAAATTAAATATAGATTCAATCATAGTTAAAGTATCTATTCAACATGTGACTCACTTTCTATTTTGTTCCTTTAATATTAAGAGACAAGTGACTCACTCTATAAGACCTATAACTGCTATTGCTTCTAGCTGATATGTTACTGACTACGAGAACACTAGTTTGTTCTTCACCTCCTAGCAGAGACAAAAAACACTAGCTGATTTCTTCTTATCTGCCTAATCCTTGGTTGACAGAATTATCTGGTACCTGTGCTGGTGGAGGTAGTAGGTACTCGGGGTGGAATAGTGCAAACTGGCCCTACACCATGTTATAAAAGAAAGAACACTAGTTTATTCTTTATTTTAGCAAAACATCTGTTTAGTGCAAGTTTAACTTATTTTCACTATCTACTATTTTATTTTGGCATGAAGATGGTATGAGTTGAGCTTAAAAAAAGAAGTGAGGACTCATAGCTGACCCCAACTTTGTTTAGGACCGAGACGTAGTTGTTGTTTGTTGTATCTGTTGGTTCAAGTTCCAGGAGAAGGCCAAAATACTGCTACTTCCCAACCCAAGAAGCTAGATTTGACCTTTGTGGCAAAGAGTTTGCATAAGTAATCTAGCAGGTAAGAGCCCAACGCATGAAGCATGGGTTAGGCGCATGTCACAGGTTCGAACTGGTATTTAAATAGAGAAGAGTAGAGGAGCGGACCTATCATCCACTACCAATGTGCACAAAATACAACAGTGTACAAACCATGATAAGTTAATATGATTTGGTACAAACACTGATTGCGAGCCGGTATTACTAATACTAATATTTAGAAGCGAGAGTTTGAAGAGGACGAACACGACGAACACTGTTGTAATTTGCTGTACAAAATATAGTTATCTAAATTGTACTTCAATATTTGGGCCTATTCGTTGGCTTTTGCTCTTTGTGGGCCTATTGAACACGTGTAGGCTCTCCATCAAATTACACTTGTGCCACTTTCTTTACTACTGTCGAGTATATTTCTTACTCCTCAAAAGTTGAACTTTCACTGCTTCACAATTCTTTGGTGAGTTTTTCAATTTTCTTTTTTTGTTGGAAAAATTCCCTTTTCTCCTTTACTCTTTCAATATCAGATCTTTTTAATTTTTCTCTGATATGATCTAATTTTTCCATGATATGGCATGTGATGTGGTCTGATTATTAAATTTTGGGCTTTTGCATATTGTGATTTTTGCTTATGAAGCTAAGACTTCAATATCTGGAAATCAGGTTTTCACATTTTCGTTATTTATTTCACATTCTTGGGTCCTTATTTTGATTTACTTACTCATGCATGTTTCGAAATTGATACCTGGGCGCATAATTTGGAATAGTAGATAAATACACTTAATCCCAAAAGTAATTACTACTTCAAGATTCCTATAGGATTCTAATCTCATGAATGAAGCTCAAATTAATTTTTCACTCATTCATAAGGGCAAAATTCCTGCTTGAAAGCGGGTATACTAATTTTCATTTATCATCTGATCTTAATTAGTTTCTTCTTCTCTCTTCCCTTTTTTTCACGTTTCGTCCCGTTTCCTACTTCTTGCAATAAAAAATTCTTTGGTTTCTTGCAGAATTTTGGGTTTTGATAGTTTTGGTCTTTGAACTGATCTTTATGAAGAATCTTTAGGACTTTCCGAGATTTTCTGTTGTCTTTGAGTTTTTATTTTTAATTATTATTATTTGTTGCGTTCATATCCAAATATCTATAAAAAGCCTTTCAAATATTTTAAAAGATTATTTCAGCCAAAAAAATGGTTGAAGTTTTAGATTATCTATCACTGAGAAGTATAAAGCACCTGTACTATATTTGTTGNTGGGTATCCTAATTTTCCTTTATCATATGATCTTAATTAGTTTCTTCTTCTCTCTTCCCTTTTTTTCACGTTTCGTCTCTGTTTCCTACTTCTTGCAAAAAAAAATTCTTTGGTTTCTTGCAGAATTTTGGATTTTGATAGTTTTGGTCTTTGAACTGATCTTTATGAAGAATCTTTAGAACTTTCCGGGATTTTCTGTTGTCTTTGAGTTTTTGTTTTTAATTATTATTATTTGTTGCGTTCATATCCAAATATTTATAAAAAGCCTTTCAAATATTTTAAAAGATTATTTCAGTCAAAAAAATGGTTGAAGTTTTAGATTATCTATCACTGAGAAGTATAAAGCACATGTACTATATTTGTTGCTTAATAGTTATTCTAATGGGCACCTTATGTAGATTTTGAACCTCCTTGACCACTAAACTACACTTTTAGATTGTGTTAAGGGGGTTCAAAACTTAATATATAGAGGTAAAAAACAGATTTTGCCTTATATATACAGTGTATTTTTTCGGCGAAGATGAACCCCCTTGCGCCCCCCTAAATCCGCCCATGCTAATGGGCTCTCTGTGTTGGCTGCTAATTTCTTTCTCTTTGACTATGTTAGTGTGTGTACTATGTGCCGCCCTTTATATAAGGTTATGTGCTCTGTATTTTCAACAACAACTTCTGATATGAATTCTTAACGGTCATGTCTTCTTCTTCTTTCTTTTCTTTCGTAATTTTGTCATCTTTTCTTCTCTATTTGTATATATGTATAATATAGCTTGAGCCTCTGTCTTTTGAGTTATTTTGCAATCTTTATTTGTCATTGCACTTATCTATCTGTACTCAGTTTTCTTTTGAATAATGACTAGCTAAAACTTTTACATGATGTTCCTGATTTCTGCTTACCTTGTGTTTTTCTGATATATTTTATCACTGTTACCAAGATATCATGGCGCTAATAGGCAACATCAATCAAATAATGATCGTGACACCAGATTGGAAATGTAAAGTCCAGATTGTTGACATAGGTCGAGAATGAGAAAGTGAGAAAAAAAGAAGATTTCTAAATCTTATTTTAGAAGATGAAGAGGTAATTTCATCTATCGTTCGTATAATGTAATCGAATTTTTATAATTATAAGTTAGCTGCATTTCTGACGAATATTGACACTTCATAGGAGCAATAAATTAGAGGGATCACTTGGGCAATGACATTTAATATTATGCCGACAAGCTTAAGCTCTTCCACACATACTTAATCTCCACTACAAGAGTTAAAATTTCATCCACTTTATACTTAAGACTTTCACACAAATTTTATTGTGTGCTTGATAGAAAAATTATAGTGGAACCAAAATAGTGATAGAGGTATACTAATGCCACCATCAAGCAAGTTGAATCTGGCTGATTTGTACCACATTGTTGCTGATCTTGCTATTGAAAGTGGTAACTCAGTTCTACCCAATATTAGTATGATGAAATATATGATTTTATAAAATACACGAGTCGTATTATACTTCATTATTTTCAAAACTTTCTGCTGAAATTATCTATTATGGCCCTCCAAAATATGCAGGTCGAGTTCCAAATAGGTGCCGGTAGATTATTTTCACAAACAATAAGTATACTGAAATATTTTACATTATACACCACAATTTGACTCCTCAGAATATAATATACATATATCATTATAAATAGATATATTCAATAATTTATTCATATACTCTTACATTTGTCATGAAAAAAATGGCTTCTTCTCACTTTGTGGTAGGACTTCGTAGAAGTCGAAGGAACCAAACTCCATCAGAAAATTGAGGCGAAAATCAATAACGATGAAGGATATCCAGTAATCCTTAGGAGGATTATAGGAATATCTCCTTATAATGGTACGAGTGTACTCAGTTTTCTTCCTTATATATTTTTTATAGAGAAAAAGAGAATACAATATTACACAAAGATTGTAGCATAAAGAGGTTTATCACTGCAAACTATATTCAACTTAACAATATAAAAATAGATCGCCGCTTATCCATAAGCGTTCGAGTTGATCAATTGTTATAAGATTTTTTATTGTTATTCTCAGACTAAAATATGTAAGTGTACACCAATATTGATTACCCTGTATATTGTGATGAATTCAAACAAAGACATGCTTGTAAGTTATGCATCAGACAACTTCTCGCGATCATTCGACTTCCAGAAGTCGAAGGAACCAAACTGCAACAGAAAATTGAGCCAAAAATCAATGACGATGAAGGATATCCAATAATCCATAGAAGGATTATAGGAATTTATAATGGTACGAGTGTACTCAGATTTCTTCCTTATATATTTTTTTATAGAGAAAAAGAGAATACAATATTAGACCAAGATTGTGGCATATACAGGTTTATTACTGCAAGCTATATTCAACTCAACAATACAAATAGATCCCCGCTTATCCATAAGTGTTGGAGTTGATCAACTGGTATATGATTTTTATTGTTATTCTCTAACTAAAATATGTATGTGTACACCAATATTGAATACCCTGTATGTTGTGACGATAGAGCAAATTCAAACAAAGACATGCTTGCAAGTTATGCATCAGACAATTTCTCACGGTCATCCGCCCCTCTCATGATGATTCCTGCTCAACAACAAATTATCCTCATTGGAAAAATTCAGTCACAAACTTCGGTAAGTGTAGTAGATATTTAAACGTGTACAAGTTTACTTATAAAACAAAGATAAACATGTAATTTTTTGTTTGCTGACAAATTGAAAGTTTTCATGTTGAGACAGAAATTTCAATATCAAATGACATGTAGTAGTTTTTGTGTGCTTGAGTGCTTGGGCTGCAAATAAAAGTTGCGAGCGAAGGAAAGAAGAGATTTTGACTGCACCAAGTGTAAATGGACAACATTATTTCCTCGGGTATTATAGTTTTACCATACTTAGAAGTATCATTTTAGCAAATATATCATATATGTACATATATTATACCATCTTTAGTTGCATGTATATGTTCCTGATTAATTTTACTAATGGTAGTGGTTCAACAACTGCAGTAATTTTGGGTGATGTAGCTGAAAAAATGCTCGACATGACAGCAAACGATATATTTGACACAACATGTGACAGATACAAACTTAGACCAATTAATTATTTTGTATTAGTATATTTTATGTATATTCTTATTATGTAACCCACAATTTAATTATTTTTAGCATGAAAAATTCATCTATATGTACTTTTACGGTACTTTCATTTCAGCTTAGTTTACCTGGTACTTTAGATCTAAAAAATTATCTTTCACTTTTAGAAATAACTCACACACATTAACAATGTCCTAGATATGTTTTCGGACAGAATCTTCCGAATTCAATTAAGATAATCATTCTTGAAAAGTTCTGACAATGTGCATACAAGTCTATCAGTGTTGTCCTACATAGAAAAGGAACAGGTCTTTGCACCAAATATTAGCGAGAGAAGCAAAACGTAAGTCAAGACTCTAGGAACAAATGAGGTCGAAATGGAAAGAACAAATGTGATATCTGAATCTTCAAGCGCAGGGCTGAAACTAGAACCATCAACACCATAAAAAAAATTATAAAAGGTGAGTCCCATTATGTATGCGTGAGATTTTCTTCTTTCCTCTGGATTCTTAATTGATATAATTATACTATAATGCAGCTTAGAATTGCTTTTTTCTCACAAAATTGTCTTCTTTTTACTCTTATTTATGCTTGCCAACCGCAAGAAGTATCTACCTTTTTAGGATCTTTTGCCACCGGAAAAGAAATCCGTTTTGGGTTCACATATGTACGGTAAAGTCTTACACCTCTTCCCCTTCACAGTTTTGTCTATTCTGTAACTTAATCCATTGAACTTGTGAATGAAAATGGATCTTAACTTTGTTTTTGTGTTTGTTCCTGATACATTTAGTTTATTAAAAATTATCTGGAGAGAAAACTACACTCCCATTCTCATAGCTCTCTTGATGTTCTGTTACTTAATTGGTTTTGCCTAAATCCTCTTCAATAGGTTGATATTACAATTTTCAATCCTTTACATATTAGCATGTCACAAGCCGATTGAATTTATACTTCAAGTACAGAGATAGAGTGAGCAGTATCCCAAAGAATTTTAAGTATTCGCTTTTACTAATTTTACTGTCGTTCTGTATCAGCAAATGTCGTTCTATTTACTCTATTGAATGAATAGTCATACTCAATCTATTTAGTTTTAGTAATCTTAAATAAAGAGATTCAACTTTATTTTGACACACGAACCATTCGTCCATGTTAGCTGAATGTGCAACATATTGTATCTTGCTTAATAGTTCTTGCGTGATTACTCAAACAGTAACATATGCGATTATATCTATCAA